ACGTATTTTGTCAAAAAATGAACTTTAAATGCTTATAAGAAAAAATTGAGACTGTGTATTTAATATTTTTCAAATGTCATTGTAATAATATATTAAGAGCTTTGTATTAAATTTTAAAGCTTTTTTACCCAACAAATAAAATTTTATTGGCAATCATAGAAAAAAAACCTAAAAAAACTGAAAATTTATTATATCCGTAAACATGTGTGTAAATCATGTGAATTTTATAGTATACAGAAATTAAGACTAATATAAAAATTCAGTGAAAATGTCATGTACCTATCTATGGTTTATTTTTTTAGAGTTACACCAAAAACCAAAATTGATTTTGTCGAAAACTGATTTTGCCTAAAAATTCAAATTTTTCCTTAGTTTTTATTTTGATATTCTAGGCGCGTTTAAAACTATTTTAGTTTTAAATTTTGACCTTCTGAATGAACCAAATATATTCACTTTTCCATCGATCGCGATAGGTTCTGTTGAAAAAATCAGTTGTACTTCCCCAAATACAATGATGACAAAAAAAAAAAAATTTAAATTTATAAACAACAGAATCTAAAAAAAAGTAGTTACACCTTTCTATTTTAGAATTTTGAATATAAATGTATTTTATTAGTGGCTTACAGTGCCTTAGACGACAGGGGGTGCCCGAGCACCCATAGCACCCCCTGAATCCCCGCCTGTCGTTACCTAAAAAAACGATTATTATGAAATATTAAAATTGTGTGAATTAATTAAAATATTTACATACCTAGTTAGTGTCAAATATTAAAATTCCGATTAGTTTTATGTATTGACTTCTGTCATGTGTACAAACACATACATTAAGTTCCTTAATTTTCTAACGTGCAATATAGACGGTAATGGCTGTTAGATGGTTACCGTACATCTTGACACTTTTACAATAAAAAAAGATCTTCTTTGAATTTAATTTTTCCTTTTATTTATCTTGCGGGTCATAAACTAAAGGTATTTAATTCTTATACTGGGTTATTCGTAACGGAAAACACTTATTATTTCAAAAAGTACGTATTAACGACTTTGAAAATATTTTTTTTTACATGGTTTCTTGTAGTAACAAATAACGTTTTTTTTTTTTTTAAATTATACTTTCAAATATTTTGTATAGTTATAATATTGTAAATGATAAATATACTTAATATATTTAATATAAGTATTAATATTATAATTTGTTACTAAGCCACAGTAGTTAACATCGCAATGGACTATACAGTCCATACGACCAAGTACAATGTATAAACTATAATCCCATTCATATAATTTGACATTCAGAATTGGCAAAAATAACATAATTAACATACGAGGCGACGGTTTCATCTTTTTTGCCAAAACAACCAATTTTCAAACGGCTACACCTGAAAGACACCTGGGTCCACGTGGCAATCATTATCAAAAGAGCCGAGATCGTATATCAGAGTATTGCCAGACATTCAGTTGTACGTTTTTATACTTTTTTGAATTACAACATACAGTTATAATTTCATTTTCTAAAGCAGAATATTGTTCTGAGTATATCGATACATAAAAAGCTAATTTAGGACCAGTAGTTCATAAGTTATTATAACTTATAAGGATTTAAAGTTTATGTGACACGAGTAGCCGACAAGCATTTTGCGGGGTAACCTTCACCGCAGCAAACGAATTGCGTCCCAAGATCCCTTTTTCATACGAATTGCGTCCCGATAATATTTAACAACTACACTAATTGCGTCCCGATAATATTTAACAACTATACTAATTGCGTCCGATATAAATACATTATTTTCCTTCCCATTTAATACAGACTTAGGACTGTCAATACTCAATAGCAACATAAAATATTATATTGCTAAAGGTAGGTTAAAAATATTGTTTTCTATCGTTTCGTAATTATGTACATCAAAAATATTGTTTTCGTCGTCAAATATAAAATAATAATTAATAAAATTAATAATAAAAAAAATAATTTCAAAAAATATAAGTTAGGTTATAAGGTTATAGTTATCACATGTTAGTGTAATATTATTTATGGCTCGGTAAAAATTTGAACGATTCAGTTTCAACATAATCAAAACGTGTAATTTCGTTAACGTCCTGTTTCATCATTTGATTTCTTAAAAATTCTTGTTTTTCACATATTTCACGTCTTATTTTTTTTCTGTGACTACTGCTGCGAATTTTTATGTAAGGATCTTTTTGTACATTTTTAAGTACATCAATAAATTTATAGATATTTGGATGAGCAGAATAAAACATACCGTTCAACTTTGAATGGAAAGCTTCACAGCTATTTGTTGTCCTTGATATTGATCCCGAATACATTGCCCATAAAGAAAGAGGATAGTCACAATCGGGGGTTATATATGTGTTTAAAATATAATCTGTAAATGTTTCTATTATTTTATTCTGTGGTAAAATTGATACTATATCATCGGTAAAACAGTTTTCTACATCTTCAGTTTCAAAAAAGGGAGATCAAAAAATGTTTTTAGGTAATTGCTTATTTCTGAATTTAGATTATATTCATTATACTCAAACCTGGAGCTTGAATTTTTCTCCACCAACTCTGGCCTAAATGGAATCGGCATCCTTTTAATTCGACAGATGGCCAAACAAATAATGCAGCCGAGTGAATTGCTTTTTCGAAATCAGCAAATAACATTTTCTGTAAAAAATTAATATTATTTTTTATACATTCTGAATTTAGATGAAAAAATGCTTTCTTGTAAGTTTCAACATTTTTGTCAATTAATAAAAAAAAACTAATGGTATGAAAACCCGGGACGCAATTAGTATAGTCGTATCGAAAACCCGGGACGCAATTAGTATGTCACAAATCGCAATTTTTATATTGGGGACGCAATTCGTATGCAGCCACCTTCACACCACTCCACTAATCTATAGTTTAAATACTCATAAACCATAAACTACTAGAAAAAGATTCGAGTTTTATGTATTAAAATATTTGTATAAATATTCTGCTTTGGAATACGAAATTAAAACTGTGCGTTGTCATTCAAAACATTAAAAACTTTAAAAAATAATAAGGATAAAAAATATTTTAAATATATATTATTTTAGATTCTGAGTGAAACGATGAATGTATTGATTTTACAATGATGTGTGTTTATTTATTTATTTTTTTATTTTTTTTGAGTCTGTGTACACGATAAGTAGTCGAAATAATGCTTCGATTTTCAACTTCAGTATCTTGTTCGATTGGAAAGTGAATATCGTTGGTGCATTGGGAGGATTTTCCCAGTAGTTTTCAAAAGCGCCGGGAAAAACAAAAGAAAAATTAAGGAAAAACGGCAATTTTTACTCAAAATCTGTTTTCGAGAAAATCGATTTTGGTTTTTGTGTAACTTGAAAACAAATGACCGTAGATACATGAAATTTTCAGTGGTTGTTTATATTTGCATTTTCTATACACGATAACATTTTCAAAATATTTTGATTTATTTTGAACTGTTTAGGAACATTTTCATTTTTTTTAGTTTTTTTTCTAGAAATATCAATTAAATTTTAGTTGTTGGTTAAAAAAAAATTAAAATTTTATAGAAGTCTCCTAGTATATTGTTTCAAAGGCAGATGAAAAATATTAAAAATCGTTAGTTACAGTTTTTTTTTATAAGCATTTAAAGTTCAAAACTTGACAAAATTTGGAAAAATCACGAAAATTAGCAAATTATTTTGAGTTAAGAATTCGTAAAAATTTTCCTTCTTAAATCTAAGATTTGAAAATGTAATACAAGATTACTCATAAGTTTGTCTACCTTTATCAAAAAAAAAACTCTACCGGAAAGTCAAATTAAATTTTTATGAGCGTTTGAAATTCAAATTTTTACAACATTGGATGTTCACTCGATTTCTCATGTAGCGATTTCCTTATTTTATTGTAATTCAAAAACGAATAACTGTAGATAAATGAAAATTTCACTGAATGTTTATATTAGCATTTCCTATACTTACACCATACAATTTTGAAAATATTTTGACTCTTTTTGAGCTGTTTACGGATATTTTCATTTTTCAATTTTTTTAGTTTTTATTTTCTATAAATATCAATCAAGTTTTATCTGTTGGGCCAAAAAGTGTAAAAAATTAATATAAGGCTCCTGATATATTGTGACATTTTAAATTAATTTTTGGACGAAATTACATATTAAAATCAATATTAACGATCTTTGTTTTTGTTGCAATTTAAAAATATTATTCGGGGATATATGAAACTGAAAAATCAAAATATTATGGCCTATCCATACAATCTACCATAGGATAAGGAATAAGAAGTATGCTCATGATAAGACTGTGCATATTTTAAGGAATTTATTCATAAATTCCATATAATTTAATACCATAGATATATTATATATAATTTCTTAAACCTAGACTGACATACAGTCTTCGCTCAGAATCGTTTTTCTTATACAATGATATTGTATCATTGAATTCAAATTTAATACCATACATTATACAGTGACCCACTTGTAACCTACTGTACAGCAGAGCGACATCCACTTACCCACCTTTTTTTTTTAAATGAAAATAATAACTAGAAACCACGTACGATTTTTTAAATGAATAGTTTATGATAAAATAATCACCTGGTAACCATATGGTACACTGTGAATTTTAAATGTACACGATGAAATGTAATATTTTTAAATATATATATTAAAAAACACGTTACCATACTAGTTTAACCTTACTAGTATACTTACCTTAGTAAGTTTATACTGGTATATTTTCACACGGGACTACGGGAGGTAAATATATGCTGGTGATAAATTTATGCTGAAAATCTGTTTTTTTTACTTAGCCGTTTTTTTAAACAGATTTTGTTGTGTTTATAACTTACTCGATTACCCACCCTGATATAATAAATGTAGGTATTTAATAATAATATTGACAATTCGTAAAACATAACATGGTATAAATAATAATCGTAAATCATTACCCAATAATATAATAAAATGTAGGCAACGAAAACCACTATATTATATTTTTATAATATTATATAAGAGTGGGACGGTCGGCGGCGGCTCGTCGAATGGTCTCCATTGCTGGATGACATAGTACGCGGCGGCCAACGGCGGAACAGTGTGCGCACACAATGAATACCATCCGATTGTTTCACCGCCACCGTCGCGTTTCTCGTTGTCGAGATCGACTGCAGAGTCACGTCCCCTATGGGTATTTGGGACTGGAAGTGCTGTCTGGTAGGCTGGCTGTACGATCCAAAAGTGCGGTTCTGCAGACGAGTCGGGGAACGGACCGTGACGAGTACGATCACAGGTTGATGAAACGACTGCGGCGCGGATTTCGGATGGTAGCCAATGTGGCGTTGAAGAGTATCTACGAAGGGTTGTCATATTGCTTCACCACGTATGTGCTAGTCGAGGAGGTGCATGGGCTGATGGAGGCACTCCCGTCGCCCATTGAGTTGCCGTCGGGCTACCGTCGACCAGTACTGCGGCCGGGGCAATTACACGTGCGTCAACAAGTGTCGACCCGCCGAATTTATATTCGTCGATGACTCCTTTAGCTTGTAAGTCCACTGCGTCCTATGTATAAGTTTAAAGTTGAGTATAGTGCTTATACTGAGCGTATCGACACCTGCAACTGGTGCCGTAGTTTTTTTCCCGGAAAGGGATGGTGGAGGTAAGGACTTGTACTGATTGGAAAAATGTTGATTGTGTGTGTATATACACACAGTGGCGCCGAGAACATGGATCAAGTCTGGCAAGTTCCAGACCTAATTTAAGAGGTGGTTGTGAGGTGGTATTATATATTTTGTAAAATTGTCCATAAATATTATTATACCTATAAGTATTATGTAGATTATAGCTATATTTGTCAATGGATTTGATACTCGAAGAAAGCATCTACCGTGTTTGTTCTATAGTTATTACTATACTATACTAATACCAACTGGTATTTTATCATTGTAAAATGTCGCCGAAATCCAATCATGTTTATGTATGATAGCTTATGCGTATACACACATAATTTTTCTGAGGGGTGTTAAAAATTTAAAATGTAAGGATTTGGAAGGTAACTGGTAACCCCTTTGCTGTAAGGTTGAATTCATTCTTATTAAAAATATTAGATATTATATTTATTAAATTATATTATTATTAATTGTTATAATTGCATTAATGTTACGTTACCGCCTATTATATATATATATATTTATATGTTTTGTTATTATCATAATTATATAATTATTAAATTTTGGTCAACACAAATTTTTCGTTGATCGGTCAATTTGGTTGGGTTCGTGTTATACCCAACGTATAAATATCCAATAAACTTAAAATATTATCTTTAAATTAATATAATATGCAACTGCTCACATCGAATACGTGTGTTGTAAAGCATTGAAAACTCTTGGTCTTGTCATCCGATTAATAAAGGATTTTAGGCTTGAATCGTCATTAAAAACACTTTTCTGTGCGCTTGTGCGCCCCATTTTAGAATATGGGACCGTAATATAGGACCCTCATACTGCAGACAACGGAAGACAAATTGAGCGTGTTCAGCGCCGGTTCCTACGCTATGCTAGTCATATCCTTAAGATACCTTGTGCACCTCATAACTATACACCGGTTGCTAATCATCTTGGTATGGCATCCTTAGCCGAACGTCGCCGTGTCGCAGGTCTTAAATTACTAGAGGGTCTTTTAAAAAATACTATAGATTCTCCAGTCCTTCTTTAGCAAATCTCCATTAAAGTTCCATCCCGTTAATCCCGCTCAAAGGCCCTCTCCTATGTCCCACACGCCACCACTAACTATATGACTAATGTGCCTTTAAGACGCCTAATGTCGTCTGCCAATGCAGAACCATCATTCGACGAATTGCTAAATTTTTAATATACAAATTTAAGTTAAAGTTTTTTGTTTTAATGTTTTAGTTTTTGTTGTCATCAGATAATTGTATTTCATATTAATGTAAGCTGTATATATTTCATTTAGTTTTGTCTTATTGTAAAATTTCTATAATGATATAAAATATACATTGTAATGTCAAAAAGGGCTAAGCCAGTATAACAAATAATAAATAAATAAATAAATAAATAAATATTTTGAAAACGTCATTATGTATATTTAAATATAAAAATATTCATGAAAGCTTTAAGTCCCAAGAGAAAGTCAGCGCAATATTAATTTTCTATCTCAAGCCCGGTCGGACCTACGCCCCCCCCCCCATACACGCCACATAAATAAAATGCTTTTACGTTAAATCGTTTTTTATGATTTTAGAGTAATCTTAGAGTAAAATAACCTTAGGATTCTTTTTCCAGTACATCTTGAAGATATGAAATATGTACCACTGCACCTGTTATTTATTTTTCAAATGGATTATATTAATAATATTATATTGACTACAATAAATTAGTACTTATACCATAATAATATAACGGTAACACGGAACCCTGTATAGGCAATTGAGCTACATTACTGTCGAGCGAGTCCATTTTTCCGGTATCTCAAAATTAACTATTATTGGTAAATAGTCAATTTTTTTTTAACTATGATAATAATATTATATCAAATATTAATATAATTTATATTTATAATAACTATAGTATTTTAATATATTTAAATTATTATAATGATATTGTAAAGTTGCCCTATTCAAACACGGAACAAACAGGAGTTTATCATTATTTCCCCTAAATATCGTACAGTTATTATACTATTATAATCCTAATCCTAATCCTTAAATATATGACCATATTCCATAACACATGTAGTTACATGATAATATAGGTACCTATTGTATGGTGAAAGTATAGTTATGATTGCTCTTGTGTCGCTTGTTCGTTCCAGAATTCTGCCGTGAGATCGAATTTTCTTGTTATTCGTGCTCTACATACCTCTAACCTCTGGGCTTAAAATAAATCTAGCGTTTAATGAAATGATGCTCATATACTGTTAGGTATTTTATGATACAGTGTTAACGATTTCAGTAATTCGTATGGTGATGACGTGTAGGTACTGTCAGATATGTAAAATGTCATGTTTTTTACTGACCCTATGAAACTTTTTGCTCTTTTCGACCTGTCATTTGATTTGTATATCTATTCTACGGTTAAAATTGTTTATTATACTTCACCACCTTACCAAACAATATTATAATAGTGATTATGATTAGTGATGTGTTAGCTGTTATTAATTCATTTATTAAAATAAAAATAATACTTCATAATAGTATCCATCACTCTTTGGCAGGTAATGAAATATTTAAAACATTTCAATTCAAACATTTTCAACTACAATTTAAAGATTTATTTTATATCAAAATGCTAAGGTGGGCTAGTTAATGAAAAAACTTAAATCAAGTTAAAAGAACACAAGATCGATAAGTTAGAAATTACCAGTTAACAAATTCCATAAATTAAAAGTTAATATGGAAAAAAATACTAACTTAAAACAGTTTATAAAAGTTATTCTAATCATGACATTTTTAAGATTTGAGATTGGAATTTAGCGATCAATGTTCATACGCCCAAATTTTATTTTAAGAATTGAAATGCATTTTCGCAAGGAATACGATCCAGTACAATTGAAATTGGCACAAGTAATAATGTTGCTCAAACTCTCAAACTAGGGAAACCTACTGAAGATATTACATCATACCGACCAATATCACTCCTTCTAAGTTTGTCTAAACGTTTGCTTGAACGCCTAAAACCGATCATAGAGGCAAACAATGTTATGCCAGAACATTAGTTTGGATTTCACAACAAACATTCGACAATTGATCAAGCATACCTAGTCACTCATGTGATTAGTAAAGCTTTTGAAGAAAAAAAGTATTTCTGTGGAGTAATCCTTGACCAATCCCACGAGCAGATTCAGCTAAATATCTTGGAATGCATCTTGACACTCGTCTAAACTGGAAACAATACGTCCGTCAAAAAAGATTTAGGTATAAGAAAATATTCGAAAACTTTATTGATTAGTCGGACCTCACAACGAGTGAGCCGTCGAAAACAAACATCTACTGTATGTAGCTATTATAAAACGGATTTAGAGATTCAACTGTGGGATTGTAATATGTAATATTAATATTATTGAAATATACACTGCTGTCGAATTATCGCTGCCGCAGCCTACTGGTTTGAAAGAAACATAGCAATTCACCGTGATACTAATATGATTCTGCATACAAAGAACGACGAAATCCAAAGATTTTCTCTCTAACACGAGACGAGTCTGGATCACCATGTCAATCCATTGGCCATCCAATTGTTGCATAACTCCAATGACATCAGACGACATAAGCGTCTGAAACCATATGAGTTAGTTTACGATTTTAGATTAAGGCCGGAGCCACTTCATTGGAAGTGACTCCGTCAAAGTGTAAAGTATAATATATAATTTTTATCTAGTATGTAAAATAAATATAATTGTTAAAAACGTTTATAAAGACTTTTGGGTCTTTAAATAATAAAATCCCAGCTAGTCTCAGATAGAGGTCATTAGTCGGTCATAATTTCATAAGTTGATAAGAAAATGAACTAACTATTTAGGTAAGCTAAATATTTCAAAAATAATTAACTTTTTAACTAGCCAAGTCCACTTTGCCAAAATGTAACTGTCTATATTAATTTACTATTCTTAGATAACTATTATAACTACTTCTTCTTTTGAACTACCTACAGTTGTTTATAGTGGTGGCTTGTGTGCTTTTAATGAAGTAGTGCACATATGAAACAAATAGAACCAATATATATATATATACTAGCTGATCCCGTGCACTTTGTTTCCCGTTAAATGTACCAACTCTATATGACTCAAACTTTGTTTAATTCGTTATTTAATATTCGGTGTATGGTGTTAAAAATTTATCTTGACTCTTCTGTTGCCTGGGATAAAAATTCTGGTTCGCAGCAGTATATATTATCAGGTAGGCAATCTACCTGCTGTTCATCTGCTTTTCATCCAGCATATGTGGGTATAATTTTTTTTTCAAATTGCATATTTTTAAATTTTATAATGCATATTTTAAAGCATATATTTCACCTGTTTCTATTGCATAAATGCATGCATACTTAAGACTTCAACTTCAGTATCTTGTTCGATTGGAAAGTGAATATCGTTGGTGCATTGGGGAGGTCAAAATTTAAAATTCCCAATAGTTTTCACAAGCGCCGTGAAAAACAACATAAAAATTAAGAAAATACGGGTTTTTACGCAAAATCGGTTTTTGACAAAATCGAATTTGGTTTTTAGTTTAACTTTAAAACAAATGACTGTAGGAACATGAAATTTTGACTGGTTGTTTATATTTGCCTTTTCTATACACGATAACATTTTCAAAATATTTTGATTTATTTTGAACTGTTTAGGGACATTTTCAT